CTTGATGTTTTTCTGTTCTAATCAGTACAGATCACACTCACATCAGTAAGCTTTAGCATGCTTCTTCAATTATGATGGTCTGTCAAAAAAATGGTTCAGTTGTCAGAATTTCACGGCTTTTTGTACGCCCACTGCAATTCAGTGATTCTTCAAGTCCTAACCACTAGATTAGTTATTCTCATAAGGTGATGTCACTCGAAAAAGTGAATCTCAAGATCAGTGTTTGTTTGGCAGTTAATCAATCACCTTTAGGGTCCATTCGTTCACATGGGTGCTATTGTAGCATCGCTGTTAACACGAGTGACCTCAGCGTGCAGATATCAGGCGTTCTTCTCCAACGAAGGCCGTCGTATGGAGTTGCTTTCGTCAGGTTGTGCTGTTGGCATTGCTTGTACTTTCTCTGCACCTGCTGGAGGTTAGCTGACAATTCTATTAAGTGATTGAATGTTGACTATGATCAGTGGCCGATAATTTCTCAGTTTAGATTTGGTTTCTGCTGGATTTCGCCTACTAGACTTCTATTTTGACATAATTGTTTTCATTCATTTAATGCTCCTTCGTGCAGATTATGAGAATTTCAACGTGTTGATTTGTATTCGCATGGATTATATTTATGAGTGCAATCCGAATGCACGAAAAATTTCAGTTGAAATTTTGCTGATTACTTTAGTAGAAATCATCGCTCATTTCAAACATCTTTTCACTACTGACCCAACGGTGAAATTTAGGTGTTTTGTATGGGATCGAATCGACATCGAAGTATTTCGCTGTGAAAAATTATTGGCGTGCATTTTTTGCGACTACATTCAGTGCAATTATCTTTCGTCTCGCGAATGCACTAATCATACCTCCGAATACATGTGAGTTTGGATTGTTCGACCGAGAATCGATCATTCCGATGCGTTAGACTTAATTCAGTCATTGTGATTCGGTGTGATCTGGAAAGGTGCATGTGAATGAATGAAATGGATGTGGATTACTTTTCAGCTGGCACAATAACTGCTTATTATCAAACCAACTTCCCAAATGAAGTGTTTCTGGTCGAAGAGATACCCATTTTTGCCTTAATCGGGTCAGTTCAATGAAATTTATTCGATTCTCCTCAATCAGTCGTTTTATCGAATCCGATAAGTCCTCTGAAAGGCGCAGAACATATTAGTGGAATCATCTTGAGATGAACGCTCAAATTATAGTCTAATAACAGATATTTATTGGAGTCATTCAGAGGTGGACTGTCCATTTTTTTGCTAACAATAAGGTAAATGTAAAATAATTTGTAGCTGTGCAATCTGGCGATGTTTCACTTTTTTGCTTTCAGAGTGCTGTCTGGGCTGGCCGGTGCTCTGTTCGTCTATTTGCACAGGCAGATCGCCTATTTCAGACAACGAAATAGAGTTTTCCAGGCGATTTTTGGTCGTAAAAAGTAAGTGAACCTAAAAGTGTTAGAATTGCTCGAATTCAAACTTCAAATCCTCTTTCCTTTCCAGCTCGCTATGGTTTACGGTCTTCATGGCTGTTGTTGTCGGCGTGCTCACTTACCCAGACGGTTTTGGAAGATTCTTCGCTGGTCAGGTAAGTA